ATCGATTTAGCTTTGATATTAATTCATCGAATTGTTCAACAAATATTTATTGAGCACTTAATAGCTTTCATGTGTTGTTTTGGTTTGAAATGACACTTTCTTCATTTGGAGCATGGAAGACAGATAGGTTAATAAAAAGAGTAAAGAAGGTGTGTTAAACACCATCATAAGTGAAGTCAGAGTGATTTGGGAGCACAAAGCAGGGCAAAGGAGAGGTCAGGGAAGGTATTCTAAAAGAAGAAAACGTTTAAACTGAGACCTGACAGATGAGTAGGCGTTAGCCAGATGAAAAGATCTGTCACTGAGTGGTTAAAGTAGTTTCAAAATACCTGGTGCAAAAAATAGGTAGAAGAATGGAATAGTAATAAAATGTTCCAGAAATTAAGAGCTTTCTGAAATATGTTAAGGGCTCTGGACTTAAGGTGATGAAAAGCCATTGAAGGGTTTGAACCAGGAAATCATTTGCAGTAGATACGTACTTTAGAAGAATCATCTTGTCTTTAGGATGAACGGAATGGACTGAGGCAAGAGAGGAAGCAGGGCAGGAAGTAGTCCAGGAGCGATAGGAAGGCAATCTAGAGAAGGGTTTTAGCAGAGGGAGAAGTTGCTGGACTGGCTGCTCAGAAGAAGCTTCTTAGGATATAGACATCTCAGTGAGGAGATGGTCAGAGGTTGACATAAAGCTTTGAAAACCCAGGGACTCGATTCTGTAATTTCATCTCAAGGAGAGCAGCTGCTAAGGGTTTAATCCACAGTAGTTAAATTAAGGAGCTATGTATCTATACATCAGAAAATTAATTTGTTTACAATGTGTGTGACTAGCAGGCCAAATATACATATTTACTCTCCATGGCATCTACCTTTCTAGGACCTAGCTATCTGGCAAATATTAAATTACTAAATGGGAAGGGTATTTTGTAGCATTTCTATCATAATATTGTTGCTGATGTTATTGATGAAAAGTCACTTCAAAAAGAATAATTTACGCTGAGTTAATTTATTAAGGCAAAGAAATGTATATTACACTTCAAAACAATTTCTATCCAAATGAATAAAATAAAAAATTAAATAATCCCTTCCCTTTTCATACAATCTAGTCCTAAAACCATTAGGTGGGGCTGGGTAGAGGTGGGGGGACATAGTATTCCAGCCCTAAACTGGGATAACTGAACTTGTGCAGGTTGAGGAGGGTATCCACAAGGGGAGACAGCTTGGCACAGAGTTTCAGGAGTCTAAGGGCATTGGAGTTTAAGCAGGATGAAAAGGGCACGTGAGTAGGGATGACCCAACTCAGTAGGAGAGTACCACAATGGAGGAACAAACAGGGTAGGGAATCAGAGCCTAACAATGCTGAGGAGGGGGTCCACATGATATTTAGATAATAGTATATGGGAGAAGTAGAAGTATATGGGAGAAGTAGAAGCAAAACTCCAAGGTTTGGGCTTGAATAACTGGATAAAATAGTTTTGCCATTTATTGTAATAGAGGAACTCTGGAAAAGGAGATTTGAGTGGATCTGGCTTAAACATGTAAATTTGGGATGTCTATGAGATATCCAAAAGAGATGCGAAACCATTAGCTAATCTATTAGTTCTACCTTCAAAATATATCCCAAATCCACGCATTTCTCACTACTTCTACCACTACCTTAATCAAGCCACTAGTATTTCTCACGTGGATTATCACAAAATCCCCTTAATTAGTCTGTGCCCTCTTACCTTTGTCACCTACAGTCTTCTCTCAGCAGCCAGACTGATCACTTTAAAACAAATCAGATCATGTCCTTACCCTGCTCAAAATCTTCCAATAGATTCCTATTTAAATAAGAATAGAATCCAAGGTCCTACAGGAACTAGTCCCTTCTATCTTTTTGACTTTTCATTCTTCCCCTTACCACTTTGCTTCTCCTTGTGATTCCTTGAACACACCAAGAATGCTTCTGCTTCATGGACTTTGCACTAAGCCTTAAACACTAAATGAAATTTTCTTCTCCAAGATTTTGAACAACTCACTCCCTCTTGAATGAATGAATATTTAAATGATAATTTCTGTGAAAATGAGAAAAATTCAAGAACGAGACCTAGAAAGCAAGTTAGGATACTACTATAATAATTCAAAGGGAAGATGATGGTGGCTTGGACCAGCCAAGCAGTGGTGATGGAATGAACTGGAGAAATTCTTGACATACTTTAGAAGGGTGGCTAAGAATTTTTTATCAATTAGAAATAGGGTGAGAGGAAGGAATCAATCAAGGATGACACAGGTTATGGCATCAGCAAATATATGGATGATATCACTTACTAAACTGAAGAGTACTGAGGCAGTAACAGGCTTGAGGATGTTGAAGGGATGTGAATACAGGGAATCAAGAGTTCTGTTTTGAACATGTTAAATTCTAAATGCTTATTAAATGTCTAAATAAACAGCTGGACATATATGACCAGAGTTTAGGAAAGCAGTTAGGGCTAAATATATAAATTTGGGAGTCATCAGCACATAATCAGTATTTAAAGCCACAAAACTGAATGAAATCATCCAAGAAGAGAGGAGATAAGGGAAGAGGACTGGTACATAGAAGACTGAGACTTTGGGGCACACCGGCATTTAGAAATCAAGCAAAGGTAGACCCAGCAAAGACTAAGGATGTGGCCAGTAAAAAAAGGAGGAAACCATTAGATTATGGTGTCATGAAAGCAAAGAGGGAAATGTTTTATAAAAGGAATAAGCAACTGTATCAAATCAGCTGAGAAGTTAATGAGAATTAGAAACTGACCACTCTATCTGACAACATGGACATTACTGGTGACCTTACAAGAGCAGTTTTAGCGGAGGGGAAAAACAACAACAACAACAACAACAACAACAACAACAACAAAAAACCCAAGAAAATCTGAATAGAGTAGACTGAGGACAAAACGAGAGGTAATGAAGTAAAGACAATGGGTACACACAACTTTTGTAAATTTTGCTATCAACTGGAGCAAAGAAAAGGTACTACCTAGAGGGTGATTTGGAGTAGAGTTTTTTGTCTGAAGATTGGCACTACCAGAGCATGTTTATATGCTGATGTGAATGATCCTATAAAGGAGAAATGGCTGATGCAGGAGAGAGAAGGAACAACTGAAGAGCGAAATCCTTGAGTAGATAAGCAGGATCAATGGGATCCAGCCTCCAAGAGGAGTTGGTTAATGCTCAGATAAAACATTAAACAATTTACCCGTAATAGAAGACAGAAAACAGTACTGGTACATATGTAGCATACTTTGGTAGATTTTATGACTGGAAAATGAGGGAATTTTCATCTAATTCCTCCTATCTCTCAATAAACTAAAGGCCAAGATCATCAATTGAGGAGCACAGAGTGTAGGTATAAGGACAGAGAAGGTGTGAAATAGCCTTTGCAGCAATGGCAATGTACTAAATAATATTGCTATTTCTAAGAAGAAAATTCATAAATACTTTCATTATTACAGAGTTATCTTTAGTCACTTAAGAGTGAAAGAACCCTGTAGTGCCCAGCTACCAAAAACAGAACAAACAAACAAACAAAAGTGAAAATAATTTAAATGATCAGCAGCAGTGGGTCAGTTAAATAAATTATAGGATATAAACTCAATGGAATAACAATTAGTAATTAAAAACAATAGAAATATATATATTAACAGATCCACACTATGTCACTTAATACGTATTTAATTTATACAATGGTAAAACAAAATTCCATTGATGCACTAAATATATATGTGAGTACAGGCATGGTTTTATAAACACAGAAAAAAGCCTGGAAGCATATAAAACAAATTCTTAACATATTGGGACTGGGGGGAGTGAGTAGGGAGAGAGGCACATGACCCCAGTAAATACAGTCATGTGTCGCTGAAAAACGGGCATATATTCTGAGAAATGTGTCATTAGGCAATGTGCAAAGATCATGGTCAGTCCGTCACTGACCTAAAGGTCGTTATGCAGTGCATGACTGTATATATATATATATATATATATATGTATATATATATTCTTGTTTAACACATATATATTAAATAAATATGTAACAAAAACCTACAGGCCAAATTCTATGTCCTTTACACATGCTAATAGTATAAACACCATAATTCAAACAGATTCACATGGAAAGATTTTCATCACAGTACATTTCAATGGAAAACTAAAAGTAATCTAAATGTAAGAGAAGTATGTAACTATTTAAAATGTTCATAAAACATTACATGCTTTAAGTAGAAAATATTTCAGACACACAAAAAAATATAAAGATTAAAAGAAGTACCTATGTGGGGCCGGCCCGGTGGCGCACTGCTACAGTGCGCCGCTTGGGAAGCGCGGTGGCGCTCCC